CATTTGTTTCATTTCTGTTCCGGCGGACACCTTGGATTAAGTAAGCAGTTTAGCCAACGATCCGCGATTCTCTTCGTCAATAATCTAAAACCATCATGTGTGGCTCGACGGACGCCCTCGACCTCCGTCCCGACAGGCTCCTCTTCCAAGGACGCCGTCTGATTTACTGAGCTACACTTGGCTTTTAGAACTGAGGAGTTAGCTCCTCACCAAAAGCATTTGATACTAAAGTGAGTCGAAGGGAGAAGGGAGGGGTGGAGAGACACGGCTGCACGTCAAGGCCCGGCCAGCCCAGCTCTTCCCCGACCGCCCTCACGCTGCCGTCAGGGAAGGAGCCGCCACACGGCACCGACCCCGAGAGCCTGGTCTTTGCTGCGGCCGGTGAGTGTGGGTCTTGGCTTCTGTGAACAGAGCAGAAGTGTGAGGTTTATCGGGTGGGCGCCCTTCCTTCCTGAAGGCGGACCCTGGACGTGACGGAAAAGGCAGCTCCAGGGGCCCCCCTAACACCCTCTGCTCTGCCGAAGGGGCAAGAACTCTCCTGCTTCTGCCCATGAGCAGCAGCGGTGGTCTCGCCGACCCAGGCTGCGCGGAGCCCTCGCTGGCCAATCCCGGCCAGAGGAATGACTCAGGCTGGGCCTGGGTCTCCCCACCTGGGGGAGGGAGGCTGAGAAGGGGTCAGGAGGAGTGGGGAGGAAGGGGCAACGGACGTTTCATTTAAAAAGGTGATGGGGAGACTCTGTGACAGCCCGAAGCAATGACTACCAGAGTCCCTGAAAATAGACGGTATTCTTCTAAAAGTCTACGTTTCTCACGACTGTGCTACAATCAGCCTTCTCCGTCTCCCCGCAGTCTGGTTATTGGCCAAGCGAGTTCCCTCGCTCGAGATGTCTCCGCTCTGCATCACGGGAAGAAGACGGGGTCACACGAGCACACCTCCTCCGAGGACCTCCGTCGGCTGGGGCCCCCTGGCCGTCCCCCGCGGACGCGGTTAAGTTGACAAACAGGACACGAGGTGCCGAGCCCCTGGTGCCCCTGACCCTGGGGTGGTGTTTCACCGCCGCGTGCCCATGCGCAGGAGGGAGTGAAGGGCAGACAGGCCTCCGGCTCGGGCCGGCGGCATCGCTGGGCAGCACCGCGGGTCCTCTGCCAGGGCCGGGGGACGGCGCCCAGACTGAGAGGAAAGAGCCTGGGTTCCTACAGGCCCCTCGTACCGAGAGCTGGACAAATGTCCCCTGGAAGTGGGCGCAGGGCCCAGAGGAGGATTCCCACAGGGCACTTGCCGGTGTCGCATGGTAGGGGTAGGACAGGGGACGCATGCTTACCTGCGGGCGCAGAAACAAGGTGCAGAGTCACCCCATCCCTTCTCAGGCCAACGTAGCTTCCACAGGGTGACCGGCAGCTTCCCGGGCACGAGGCAGGCAGAGGGCACAGAGACCGGACGGGGGAGCCAAGACGAGAGCCCTGTCCTCACGGTGAGGGGCCCCTTTCTGGGGGGAACCCGGACCCCCGCGGTCACGCCCTCCCGCAGGCTCCCGGGGAGGAAGCAGCAGCCGATCCACGCGGGTCTCAGAGAGGCTGAGTCTGCTCAGTGTCCACCTGCTCCGACACTGCCTGTCCTGCTGCTGCTGGACTCGGGTGGAGGGGGGCAGGACGCACAACGGGGTGTGTCCCTGGCACCTCCGGGGTCACACTTTCAGAGGGAGAGGTCGCCGCCCCCGGGCAGGAAGGGCAGGTGTGGGGACCCATCAGGAAGGCGGCCGGTCAGACCTGTGTGTTGGGGACGTGGACGAGCCGGGGGGTGAGGCCCCCCTGCTTTGAGGGTGGAGCACAGTCGGGGGGCCTGGGGCTGTAGAGTCTTAGCCAGGGTCCCAGTGACACAGTTACTGTCCGGGTGGAGCGAGAGGGGCAGAGCGTGGGGACAGCCACGGGCAGCCCGGAGAGACTGGCAGTCTGAAGGACCACGAGGGGTCCCCTGACCCCAGACGCACGTCTGCACACACAGGGGCCGGGGGTCCCCCGCTGCCCACGAAAGGAGAAGCTCCTGCCAAGTTCTTGACGCACCGTCTGACATCTTCCCCAAACGAAACCTGAAGTCGTGGCCAACGGGGAGGACTGAGGACCACAGCTTCCTGCCGTGGAAGGTGTTTGCAGAATTAACGTGGGGCCCGGACGTGGGTCATGGAAACACCCGGAACACTGCTCGCTCGCGATCACGGGCTCACGTGTTTGGTTTTCACTGACGTCATCTTGGCTGTACACCCCAAGCTCAGAGTAAACGAGATTCTGGAGTCTCTGTCCGCGTGGCCGCCCCTGGGCTTCCGCGTGGACTGCGGGAGGGGTGGCTGCCCCCTGGCGGGTGGACTGGTGTCCGTCCTTGGTGTCCAGCCGCCCCGACTTCCCTGCTCCCACGAGGTTTCCCAGGGAGCCGGCATTCTGGGCTTTTCATAGGGCGACTTCGGGTGCTGAGTGGGCGCCAGCGTCGTCATCAGATTTCTTAGGGAGCTGGGGCACCCGGAGCGGAAAGACCTAGAGAGAGAGTGAAGAAGAGAATACTGAAATGACGGATTTCGTGGAGTATGATGCCGTTAGCGAGACTTTTATGCTCCCTGAAGGGTGATCTCACGCAGAGAAAGGGGCGCCCAGGGCCTCACTTCTGTTCAAAAATAAATACTTAACTCAATAAAGTTTTAGATTTAAATATCCAGTTATTTCTCAAGCACTTCCATTTAGCCAAATGTTATTACTCTGTCTAGCAAATGTTTAAAAATACTTTGAAAGGGTTCCCATGTGAAAACTTTGTCCAGCCCGGCCGGTGTGGCTCCGTGGCTGAGTGTCGACCCTGCACCAGGAGGTCGCCGGTTCAATTCCCGGTCAGGACACATGCCCAGGGTGTGGGCCCATCCCCAGTGGGGGACACGCAGGAGGCGGCCAATCATGTTCTCTCTCATTGATGTTTTTATCTCTCTCAAATCAATAAAGAAAAAATATTAACAAAAATAAAATAAAAACTTAGTTCAAAGTTTAAAATTTAAAACTGCATTTTATAGTTCATTCTCTTTTCAAGTCCTTTTCTTCTCTGAAATAAGCGAAATCCTCTTGAATATTCAATTGTTCTTATCAATCTAGCCAACTTCAAAACAGGACTTTGTATTTGTCGCATGTTCCAAAGCAGCACATAAAGTGAAATAAAGATCCTCTTGGGCGCACGTCTCAGTCGGTCACTCGACTGTGGTTCCGACGTCACTTCAAGGCCTCACTCTAAGGGGCCACAATTCCTTTAGAAACTAAAACAAAAGAGCATGATTTTTGCGCTGAGACTTCGATCTCCCTGGGTTGAAAGACGATGAACATTCACGCTCACGGATCCCTCTGCACCGCGGTGTTTGCCCCTGCCGGGCGCCCGGCCAGCCCCCACCCACAGGAAGCAGAGTTGTCTTCTTGGAGGTGCCGGCTGCACAGGCGGGGTCCCGCCGGGGAGCGGGTGGCCGTGCCCACAGCCCTGTGCACTGACCGATGCTGTGATCGGGTCTGCAAGGGGGTCGTGCGGCTGCCACCCCCACATTCAGGTCGTAAGCACCAATGAGACACAACCGCCACCAGCGCAAAGCGCGCTCCAGGTCTCTCCGTGCGCTTCTCTGGCTCAGAAACAGGTGGACGCCGAACAGCGCGGATACAGAGCTGGGGGGGGGGGGTTCTGAGTGCTCACCGGCTTCCTCGCGGCCGTGGAGCCCCAGGGGACCGTCCCCTCCACGAGCTTGAACCTATCCTGTGTATTCGTGGCCCTGTCCGTGGCCTTCGGACAAGGCTTTCTGCCCCTAAGTGACAGTCCGTGTCTGCGAAGGAGACACTGCTGCTGGTCACCAGCCTCGGGGTATTCTCAGAGCTGATGAAAAACTCCCAGGGAATTCTCATCGGGAATCCCCCCCCCCAGGAACAGCTGCTGGGCGACGTTGCCGGATCCCTCACAGGTCAGTTCCACCGCGAGGACTCGGACAGCGTTCTGACCACTGCTCGGCTGCATGCTAGCGAGTGAACTGGGAACAGGCCCTTGACCGTTCTGACCTCTGCACCTGCGCCCTGAGCCAGACTGGGAAAGCGTGGCCGGCCCAGCCCGTGGTACGAGAAGGATGAGTTCCACGTGAACCGTGACTGGGGTCTGTGCTTCTTCATTCTCTGAGCCCAGAAGCTCAGTCATGAGGCTCCGGGACACACATGGTCACACGTGTTCACCGTCTTCCCTGGAGTGGACGGCCGCCCCCAGCCCGTAAGTGACCCTTGTGAGCAAGAACCTGACCGCACACCTGTCCTCCGCAGACCGCTCATCCACGCGTATTCCCTACCCTCTCGAGTTCTCATCGGCGTTATCAGGAGGAACGAGGCCCTGACTCAGTCTTCACGTGGAGCCCACGGGGACCCCTCCTTCGTTCCGGGGCTCCTTGCAGGAGGCCGCACTGCACGCTGAGTGAGGGTTCTCACCGCTGCTCACGGTATCGAGACGGGGAGCGGGCTCGCCCCTCAGGCCTCCTCGGGGCTGAGGGCGCTGGGCGCTGTCCGTGTGGGGGTCTTACGATGCCCAGTGTGAAGGTACATGGGAAAACTTACTAAGGGTCCAAGAGAAAACCCAGAAGCAACAAGAGAGTCAGCAGACAGGCCCTGAGCAAACACCGTACACGCTGCGGTTGTGTGACTCGGACGTTTGTTTGGAAGAAGGAGAATGACCACAGGAGCCCACTTCCTCCGGCCGGAAACGAGGAAACCGGAGGGAGGGAGGCTGGTGAGGAGGAAGAACTTTCTGCCCCAGAGAGTCCAGCCCCGCCCCAGACCGGGGAGGGCGCGGGCGGGCTCGCCAGGGACCTTTGCCTTCCGGAAGGAGCCGCCACTCAGGACGTTTATCACATGAAGCCAGGCCCTGCTCTTCCTGAACCTTCCGACCGCACTCACCCTTGGAGGAGAGACGCTGTCCTTCACCACGTGCTCCACGCCCAGCGCCACCGCCGGGGGGACGCGTGCTGCCTCCGTGAGCTGTGCACAGTGGACTGCAGCCTCCGCCGCCACCAACACTCAGGTGGCCCCTCCCGGGGATGGAGAGTCAAACAAGTACCAGGGAGGCGTCCGAACCGAACTGCTCTCCTCGGAAAGTACAAGTCATCGCATTTGATCATCGCTGATGCACAGTGAGGCTGGGATGGCCCTTTCAGAATTCAGTTATTACCAGGAAACTGTTTTGTCTCTTGAATAAATTTTACCAGGGCAGAGGCTTAAGAACGACTCAGCTCACGAGGGGAGATGGGGCGGCCTCTGCCTCTCTGTGGTCAAGGTCACAGACGTCCTGAGATCGGGGCCAGCGGCCGGGGGACGGCACAGCCTGCCCTGTCGCCCCAGCCTCCACGGCAATGCTGAGCCCATGGTCCTCCAGGGGACCTGCCGGCTCCGTCCCCACGGCGTCCTGTGTCGCCCGTGAGCACCATGTCCTTTTGGGAAAAAAGAAAGTCATTCTTCACTTCCAGTGCCCAGTACCAGAACCCACTTGGAATTTGTTCACAAGCCCGAGAACAGGACATTCCACAACCTGCGCTCGGCAGGGCTGCGTCTTTCTGGAGGTATGTCAGCAGCTACGTAGAATATCCACCCTCCAAATGTGTCACCACGTCCGTGGGTCGTATATAATTAAATTGGCCAGAAATCACAGCCAGAAAGATTCTAGGAACATTCTATTGCCACCTCGTGTGTGTGTCTGAGTGTGAGTGTGAGTGTGTGTGGGTGTGACTATGAGTGTGGGTGGGTGTGAGGGGGAGTGAGTGTGTGTGGGTGTGAGTGTGTGTTGAGTGTGTGTGTGTGGCTCTGGGTGTGAGGGGGAGAGCTCAGGTGGTCATCACTGAATCGGGGGCATGTGCCCAGCAGGAGCTCTGTCTGAATGTACTGAGATAAAGATGATGAAGTTGGGAACAAAGGCTGACCCTTGACCTCCCAGAGAGAAGACTGGAGAGAATGGACGAAGATGGCAGTTCTGCAGAACCAAGGACCTCAGGTTTGTCCGGTGCTCACTTGGGTGGAACAGGGCCAGGCGGGGGGCCAGGAGAGTCCGCAGGACGTCGCCTGGGGTGCGGTGAGAGGGGCTGTCTGTCTGCAGACACGCCCGGACTCCCAGCAGGGAGGTGGCAGTTGGGGCTGAGGCTGAGCCCAGAGAGAGCTGCTCCCTCAGGTGAAGTGGGGGGGACAGCCGGACGTCCGCGGGGAGAGGCAGAGGGGCCTCGCCTCTCGAGACGGAGCCAGCCCACGGGAGAGCCATCGGCTCACAGCTGGACACGCAGGACACAGCGCGGCCTGGGGAGAGGGGGGCCTCCAGAGCACACACCACGCTCCCCGGCCCCGCGAGGTTTCAGAAAACTGTGTGACGAACCCCTTCGTGCTGATCACAGCCGCGAAACCCCCACCCGGCCCGGCGCGTTCTCTGTGACTCGTCCTCCCAGCCCGCCCGGTTTCGATCCGATCCTAACACCGAACCATTTCATCCAAACATTTTAGCAGATGTCTCTAATGGAACCGGTGGTTCTTTTTTAAAATAAAAAGGCATATTTGTATTTAACATCACACCTTAAAACATCCACAATAACTGAAGGGAATTTGGAGAAAAGTGACACTGAGCTTCTGGCAGGTTCCCGGGCGGGACTGACCAGACCGTGAAACGTGACCACTGCTGTGACCTGCGTGCGCCCAGCCCCGCGGAGCCGAGCAGAGCGCAGGAGCTTGAGGTCGGCCCCTGCTCTGCGGTGTCGGCAGCAGGGGCGAGCTTACCCTGAACCCAGAAGGAAAGGGAGCCCCCCTCTATTGCTTCGTTCGTGTGGAACTTTTTCTACTGGCCACGGCGAGGGCGGCGGATCGTCAGACCATCGCTGTCACCTACGGAAGGGTGACAGGCGACACTGGTGGCTCCGTTTCTGCAAAGTCGTGCACCCTTCTGTGACAAGCTGCGAAATACTCCAAAGAGCTGCCCACGGCCGCCAAACTGTGTGTGGGTCACGGGACCTGTCGCCCCGGTAAATCGGGGGCTCTGAGGGGCAGACGAACATCACCCCCACGGGAAGGAGCCCCGCCGTGTTAGTCTGCCCGGGCGGTGGTCACGCGGTATCGCAGCCTGAGTGACGAGCGTGAACGCATTTCTCATGGTTCTGAGGGCTGGAGGGCGGAGATCACGGTGCTGATGGGTCGGTCTTCAGCGCCTGCGGCCCCCTCGCTCACGGACGCACCTCAGGTCCTCATGGTCTTCAGCGCCTGCTGCCCCCTCGCTCACGGACGCACCTCAGGTCCTCACGGTCTTCAGCGCCTGCTGCCCCCTCGCTCACGGACGCACCTCGGGTCCTCAGGGTCTTCAGCGCCTGCGGCCCCCTCGCTCACGGACGCACCTCAGGTCCTCACGGTCTTCAGCGCCTGCTGCCCCCTCGCTCACGGACGCACCTCGTGTCCTCACGGTCTTCAGCGCCTGCTGCCCCCTCGCTCACGGACGCACCTCGGGTCCTCACGGTCTTCAGCGCCTGCTGCCCCCTCGCTCACGGATGCACCTCGGGTCCTCAGGGTCTTCAGCGCCTGCTGCCCCCTCGCTCACGGACGCACCTCGGGTCCTCACGGTCTTCAGCGCCTGCTGCCCCCTCGCTCACGGACGCACCTCAGGTCCTCACGGTCTTCAGCGCCTGCTGCCCCCTCGCTCACGGACGCACCTCGGGTCCTCACGTGCCTTCTCTCTGCGCTTCCTCGTGTCTCTGCCTCCTCCAAGGGAGGACACCGTCCTGAGGGATGAGGACCCTGACCTAGGACCTCATTTAACCTCAACCACCCCCTTCAAGGGCCTGTCTCCAAACCCGTCACGTGGGGCGTCCACCTGTGAATTCTGGAGGGACGTGGTCCAGTCCACAACACCCGCGAACTCCGGAACCCGAAGGGAAGCGGTCTGCTGTCCCTCCAAACGACGACCCTCCTCCTCCGGAAACAGGAGACGATGCTCTAACCACGTGCCCTCTGGCAGTTTCAGCCTCCAGCTGTATTTACGTATCTTCACTTCGAGTTCTGCGGTTGTAGGTTGTATGAGTGCGTTTCATCTGCGTCATTTAAACACTGACCGTGGCTGATGTCAGGGACAGCGTCTGCTCCTGGAGCCTCATCTGACCAGTGTGTTAGGGGTGGTGAAGGCTGCTCTCTCCCAGGGGCGCAGCCGTCGGTGTCCAAGGTTTCACCAAGAATGTCTGCTTCTCTGTCCCCACCTCCCAACCACGGACAGTCGGCCCACAGGTTGGAGAACATCCGTGTGGACATGGGTGCAGCTGCCTGTCTTGGTAACGTGAGCCGGAAGGGCCACCTCGCGGGCGCAGGAGGGCGCGGGAGGAGCCAGGTGCGCTGGAGACAGGTGAGGGCCCAGGGGCTGTTCCTCCCACCTGCTCTGCAGCACAGTCTTCGAATATCGTGTTTTCTTGAAGTAACTCTAGCAGATGTCTACTCTTCTTCTTCTTCTTTTTTAATCTTCACCTGAGGATATTTTTCTATTTATCTTCAGATAGAGAGGGAGGGAGGGAGAGAGAGAGAGAAACATCGATGTGAGAACAACACATCGACTGGCTGCCTCCTGCACAACCCCGACCAGGGCGGGGGACGAACCGCAGCCGAGGTACGCGCCCTTGGCCGGCATCGAACCCTGGACTCTCTGTTCCAGGGGCGACGCTCTACGGCTGAGCCAAACCGGCCAGGGCCGGATGTCTACCCTTAAACCAGAAGAGTCTAACAAAGAAAGATACATCTTGAAGCACCACAGTCTCCTTCCTCACTGCACCTGAAAAGCCGGGTGACTCAGTCCCTCCACCTCTCCTGTGTTCTCCACCGTCCAGCCCAGGCCCCCGGCGTCTGGCTGTCCTCACCCCGAACGTCCAGGGTTCCAGTTACCCAGCAGCTCCCGCACCGTCGAGTCCCTTCCGGCGATGCCGGCTCCGTGCTGCCCGTGGGTGGCTTCTCCCAGCCCGGCCCACCTGCAGGCGAAGGCTTAACTCTGGAGCTCTCTGCGCCAGGCCCTCCGCTCAAGACTCACACACGTTCTGACAGGGAGCCGTTCTCTTCTTAGCTGCGATTTTACAAATTTGACAGAGAAATTCCATTTGCACCAACTCACGGAAGTTTAGAACTTGGAAGATTGCACCTGTCCCAAGGACACAAACGCCTTTGCCAGGGGACAGAAGGGAGCGTGTGTGACGGTGGGATTCCCAGCTCCGGGAGGGTGAACGCAGCCGCCCCTGCAAAGACCCTGAGGTGGGTGGCGGGAGCCTCGTGGGTCCACGTCGACTTGCTAAAAGGCCGAAACCTTGACCTGTAAAGATCTGAACTGTGTTTCACACCACATGCGTGTGTTTCTGTGAGTCGGAATCCGGGGAAACTCCTGAGCATATTCTCACCACGGGGACGCGTGTAAGAACGCACAAGAGCCGGCGTCTCGTGTCAGCCGAGCAGGTGGTCAGCGATGTCGGCCCCGAACAATATCCTGAGTCACAAATCGTCATCTGTGATCAGCTTCCTGGGGGTCATCCTGCCGTCCCTGAGCGATGCCATGAACTGTCCTGGGTTTGGGGACCTGACGGCAGGACTCACGCAGGGCCTCCCACCCACTCTGACCTGGAGAAAGCATCTCATCTCTCCGCTTAGTCGTTATTGTCCACAAACAGAGCTGAGGCTCGTCCTGTCCCCTGTTCACAGGTCGTCTGAAGGACACGCAAGTTAACGGACGGAAGGCACCTGGAACTGGGCAGGTAATGAGCGTGGTCTGCACCACGGGGCCACCGGCATGCGGCCTCACAGTCAGAGCCCCTGACGATGGTCACAGCCTCTTGACACACATTATTTGGTTTCCACGATTCGCCGGGAGTGGGTAGGAAAATGATGATTATTTTATGAACGAGAAAAACTAAGGCTCGACGCGTTTCTTCGTCCCCCCAAAGCTGCATCTGAAGCTGGAAACAGTCCCGTCTCCCACTAACCCTCAGAGCAAGGCCGTCAGAGGGCAGCAGGCGGCGTTGCTGGAAGATTCACTGTGAGCTGGGCGGTGACAGCGTCTTAGAGAAAACGGTCTTTTCCTCTGGCTTTGAGTAATGGTCAGTGCGCAACACAGATCCCAGAGGGAGACATCGGCGTGGCTGCCCCTTATCTGTGCGTGGCTGCCCCTCATTTGTCCGTGGCTGCCCCTCATTCGTCCGTGGCTGCCCCCATCTGTCCGTGGCTGCCCCCATCTGTCCGTGGCTGCCCCCATCTGTCCGTGGCTGCCCCCACCTGTCCGTGGCTGCCCCCATCTGTCCGTGGCTGCCCCCATCTGTCCGTGGCCACCATCCTCATTCATCTGCTCTCGGCCCTAATGCTTCCTCCCTCCCTTCCAACAGCAGGACGGTGCCGCTCTGGGGGGGCTGATTAGAGGCTAGAGGGTTCTCCACGTGCCCACCAAGGCACTAAGATCATGTGGACAGCCCTGGATGTGTTTTAGTGCCGTCCGTTTGTGACCCACGACAGACGCGCCGCAACCTGGGCCGGCTCCCGCGTGGTACTGACTTGCTCTGAGCCCGTTCCCCAAACAGCCTGAGGCCCTCGCTCGTGCACAGGGAGCCTTTCTCTGCACTGACCTGTGTGAGAGCTTATCGCTCTACGTTTTTAAAAACTGAACTGAGTACCTTAGGTCGATGCGATGTACTCCGAGCTAAGTGAGCAAACACTTCACCGGAATTTACGACACATTCCTCCTAACCGCCCGCAGGCCTGGTCCCGTCGCAGCAGTGTGCCCCGCAGAGAGCGCTCAGACGGCGGCGCCTTCCTCTGTACGGCTGCTGCTGTCGTTAACCCTCACCCCGGATGTTTCCCGTGTACCCTCAGATGGAGTGGGGGGGATGTCGACGTGACAGGGCCACATTGACCGGCTGCCCCCGCACAACCTGGCCAGGGCCGGGGATGAACCGCAACCAAGGTCTGTGCCCTTGACCAGAATCGAACCTGCAACTCTCCGGTCCTGGGGCTGGTGCTCTAACCACTGGGCACACCGGCCAGGGCTGATCTTTAATGTTTCTTGTAATAGTTTCACTTGACCTCAGCAAGATTTCGCGAACCGACCGATTGACGTTAATTCACACAGTTCTTTGAACATCCTGGAACTGTCATGATGGGACATGAAGGAAACTGAAAACGCGTTACCTCGGGACACAGTTAGGGTTCCACGGGCCGTGTTCTGAGTAAGCCTGCAGCTCCCGGGAGCCACGCTTCACACCCGAGTTTGCAAATGTCGCTGGATTCTCACCCACCAGCGTGACGGCCCGTCCTGGGGGGTGCCCTGTGCTGCCGGCACAGCCTCTGGGGTCGGAACAGGTGTTTCTGGGGTAACCGACCCCCAGACAGCCCAGGAAGGCCAGCACCACCGCTGCCGACGGGTTTGCCCCGACAAGGCTCTTTCTCAGCCGGGATGAGCAACAGGAAACAATAAAAATGGAAATTAGCAGGAAGCTCAGAGAGAGCAAACATCTGAAGATCACTCTGGGGATGAGCCCAAAGCCAAACGATACACATAACGTCAGAGTCAAATGGGCAATTACACCCTTGAAAGCAAGAGACAGCGAGTCACTTCGAACACTCACCCTCCATCAGGAGGGTCCCCCGTGAAACGCCACAGACAGGAAGCCGCTGA